ATCAAATTACACAGAGGATCCATAAATCCCAAAGCATTTGGCCTCATGACAGGGAAGTATCATTCATAAAACTGCTGTGTCGACACATTGATACTTCAGAAGGAATTTTAATACAGCTTATCAAATTCTCTGCGGTCTGAATCTGCAGTTGTTAACATGAGAATTAAACCGGAGCCTGGTTCGAGGTTGAGATCTCATTCACGGTCACTTGAGTGGATGATTGTTCGTGACTCTGAAACTGTTTCTGCTATCAACCCTCAGATTTTGACTTCCTAAAAGGTCACATAGACTCACAGTACGTCCCGCAACATCCAGCAAACTTGAGGCAAATAGACTCCCTCAGCGCCATCTCATTTTCATGTAGTCCTTTCCACTGTTGCACTTGGCATCCCCGAGCAGCCTGCCCTACAGTCATAAATAACTTAAGCGCTTATGAAACACACTGTAAACAGCAAAGTCGAGGGACGGCAATCAAAGATAAATCTTGAGTATTTACCACTGCAGCAATCAATAATTAAAACACTGACGTCTCACCCAGGTATTCTTTATGGTTGATAGAATAAGAAATGAGAGCACTGATGAATCAAATGAAACTGAAAGTAGTCTCTGTACAACAGTTTGTGTGACTTAAAGTAGTGACAAAGTACCGGCTGCAGTTTCGTTTAATATTTGAGAAACATTTGAAAGTATATGTCTGAAATACATGTCTGAATCTTTACAAACAGTGTTTTCACTCAGTTATAACTCATACAGATTCATTGTATGTTTTACCATCGACTACAACAACCACTGTAATGGTACATTTTTTTACGAAGTATATATTTCTACTCAGTATATTGTATTCATGCATAAGTACTTCTGCTCTGAACTTTGTTGAACTTCACCGTGTCTCTGTTGTGCAGAAGAAGAGTTCTGCCGTGCCTGTGCACAAAGATAACTGTGTTGTATGAGAATGTTCCAGCACCAAGGCCTTTGGGCCGCTTGTGTTGTTTGCTTGCCGTTTGTTTTTCAGTGTTGTTCCTATCAGTGCGAGAGCAAAAGTCTGAGACCAAAATGTCTGTAACATTGGCCGTCGGCACCCACCTTTGCTCATTCTGTATAAAGAAAGCGTGTTCACTGTTTCTTTGGTTCTTCCTCACTGAGACTGAACGCATTCTGTTGTGATGATTGAACCTTCTCTGCGCAGAGAATAAATACTTAAAAGACAACCTCTGGAGTTTGGTATTCTTTATTTCAACATCAAAACACACCACGTAGGCTTCGGAGGATTTTGTTGGCCAGTGGATACAGTAACCATCACAAAACAGTGACAACTATTTAACAATAGCAAACACTGAGCAAGACCATATCAAAGTCAGCCAGATTTAGCCACGGTAAGGCAAATACTGTATGTCCCCAAGTTAGTTTGTGAGTTTGTTTTCTCAACTTTATTTAGCAATATGCACAGTGTTAACAGTTGTTTAATGTCTTCTGTGTCTATGGAGGAGCTCCACAAAGTCTGATAAAATGACCCTGATGATGTCATCAGGGGTTATCTATGGTGGCCCCGAGGGCTCAATGCACTGCAAATTAAGAAAAACACCTATTTAAAACATATGCAATACAATTTAGAGAAAACTACCACCAAAATACAGAAACGTGCTGTAAGTAGCACATGCGACAACAGAAACTGTGTCCAAGAGACACTAGAAATTGATGCACACTGCTGAAATGAATATTACCAAACAAGGCTGCATATTAACAAAAAATGATTACAAACTAATTTCTATAGAGTTCCCTGCTTGACCCAGCTGGTAGTCCAGTCGGGATCAAAGTAAAAACAATACCTGCGGTCTTTGCACACAGCACAGAGAAGAACCATATATTTAACCATACATATCTGCATCAACATAGCAGGACACACAGTATATAACATTTAGTGCTCCAGTGCCATTGGAAACAATAACTCTGATGATAAATGATTGTGGAAATGTCAATTTCTTGTACATTGCCTCTCACTTTTCATCATGCAAATGTCCAATCGGGCAAATGACATGATATTGATGCGAGAGCGTTACCTGTCCTTCAGGCTGTCTTTGTTGTCTCTGCAATATCACTGTATCTGCCCTCTGAATCCATTATGAAAGTAGCTCCTTGTCACAAAAAATACACTTCAAAGCAGCTTGTGAGCAGTTTGAGTGCATACAGATGGGTCTTGCATTGACGGTAAGAAAGACACACAACAGTCACAATCTGAAGGACGTTGTACATTAAATACGACAAAGGGAGAACACCACCACATTATTCTGCAAATGAAGACAACTAACACCATCTAACTCAATATATAATATCAATATATAGTATCACAATACAATACAATACAACTTTAGGAGGGGGGAAATATGTCTTCGGGGTCGGACTGTGTTAGCTATATCAGTTTGGCAAAATCACTCAGTATTTAGGTGCATTGCTTTGTGTGTTCACACCTTTTCTTTTAGTTGAAACCCAACAGAGAAAAGGACAGTGGTGGTGAGGTGTGTAGCTTTAGTTGTAGCTCAGGAGGCTTAAGGACTTAAGGAAAACACAGAATATGCATAGTCATATGCATATTATTATCAAACCAAGCCACTGAGACGGTAATACATCCACAACTTCCCCTCTGTAGGCCTATCGTGAGTAAGTATCTGACAGATTGTTGTTAGTCTGTATTTTGGTGAGACATTGAGTGTAAAGCAGTCACTGGTGTTTTACGCTGCATGTGTTTAGAGTCTGAAACAAACAGAAAGGAGCTGTCCTGCTGAGTCTAGAAACAACAAAACAACATACGTTGATTCTGTGCCCACGATGAGTTACCAGTGTTTCTCTTTAAATGTGAAATGTTTGTCGAATGACTACCACAAACTATACCATAAAGTGCCTTTTTTTTATTTCATCTGTCAAACAATTGCTTCATGAATAATTGAGATAAAAGGTCCATACGTTGTAACTAATGGCTATTAATTGTTAATAAATAATTGACTTGTGTTTTATAGATCAGTTTTGAGCCATTATGAAGTACGCATTTTGGGTTGCCAGATTGTGAAAATTACCTCTGACTACTTTGGCAGACAATCTGGACCAACATCTATATATTAGCAACTTAACGTTAACGTTTAGGTAGAAGGTGAGAAACCCTTGAGCATTTTGAGCAATAACTACGTTCTTACAAAATAGAAAGAAACATTTTTTTACAACCTGAAATTCCTAAATGCATTGTACCTGTAAAGCATTAGTATGAACCATTAATAAAGCCATAGAATACAATGTATAAGCCCTTCATAGATCCTTATCAGAAGCCCTCAGAAAGCTAATAATAAGAGCGCTTGTTTGTCAGTGGCAGATCTCACAAGCTGCACTTCAGTTCTGTTGCTAACCAGCATAACACTGGGTGTTATGCTGGTCATGTGGCCTGTGGTTGATAAAGGTGAATGAAAGCTCCTTGTCCAAAAGGAAAAAGATTCAATTTATTCTCATTTTCTCATCAGTGCATCTTTAAAAGTCAGTGCTGATATTCCCTCTAGTTTTTGCCCCTCCTTTCGCTGAGCATCTGTTTCTTTTTTCCTTTGATTTTCTGTTGAACACCTTTACTTGTTTGTTTTGGTGCAAAGGGACAGTAAAGCACACACAGAGGTAGACACATAAGATACAAAGAAACAGACAGAGGACAAAAAGGTCCTCAAGGTTTGCAATCAGCCCCCTGAAAATAAAGTAAAATATACAAAAAAAAAAAGAAAAATAATAACATATGCAGGCCAGTTGTTGATTTTAAGTGTGGTGCAGGTTACACGTGTGAGTGTGTCTATGTTTATAACTGAAAGACAAAGGACTAAAGAAGGAAGACTGAGCAAATAGAAAGAAAGTAGGAAAGACACCCAAAACCCTCGGGAGTGAGTCAGCTCTGTTGGAACATGGAAGTATCTTTAACTGTGTTTTTAATCCTTTGGACTTGCTCCTTAACCTCACCCCTGCTACCCCCCTCCAGACTACCACAGCACCCCCACAGAGGCCACAGCTGAGCCAGAGGTGCTGCCTCGTCACTGATTTCCTGAACCTTTCTACCCATAAGTTAGATGGGGAGAAAATGTGTGTGGGGGGGAAATCAATTGTTCAATAAATGGATCACAATGGCATAAATAGACAGTTTTGTCAAAAGATTAGGACAGGAGAAGATGAAAGGGTGAGCAAGTATAGGTTGATCTGAACATCCTAACTCCTAGCCCTATCCCTCGGAGTGATTGGCTAAGATAACATACCCAGAATGCATCAGGAATAGCTCCTCAACCATAAGGCTTATATGCATATTTGTCATCTCCTTTGACAAGTAGGAAGCTAAGGAATAGCTTTTACTAGAACTAGGACAGTACATTTTATGAAAATACACTGAAATATTATATTTAAGATACAATTTATAAAGCCATAGGCTACTAGTGGGATCTCAGTGTTTTGGCCACGTTCACTGTTTATACATTGACCGTTTACTGGGAGTTTTACTTTAAAACACTGTTTTTATTTCCCGTATAGCCATGTCAGATATAACAGAAATCTCCCAAAAACATTGAAATAATAACAAACACAAAGGCTGTTGATTGATATTCAATTATGACCGAAGAGCTCCATGCTATAAGACAAATAAATGGAGAATGCAAATAATTGAATGAAACAGGTCTGATTAGATTCCTCTGAATCCAGGGAATAGAATGCTATGAGGACTGTCATCATCTTGTGGCGGTATCTACTACTACTACTACTACTACTACTACTACTACTACTAATACTACTGCTACTACTACTACTACTACTACTACGACTAAGAGCAAGAAGTGCAGCAGATCTCTGTTACTCTCAGGATTTCTATCATTGCCTGCAGACATGTAAGTAACTAAACCGTTGGGAAAATACTCTGACAAGAACATACATTTATGTCAGTATGACGGTAAATCGTCAAATTTGACTGCTTTGTTTCCCGCTGACAGGCGCCGCGTTGTGTATCGATGTTTCCAGGGATACCACGAATGTCATTGTAGACGAACATGTATCCCAGATCTTCTGAACGCCACTTGCTTGTATATTTACAACGGTTGAATTTGTGCGACTCTATTGTTAAAATACTTCCTAATAAAACATAGTTTGGACATCGATTCTGAAAGCTGAAGACTCCTTCTTTTCAAAACAATATAACATGCATATTTTTTATAAATAGACCATCTTTCATCGTAATAACGGGACAGGGATGGACCGGGTACCAGGTCCGTCTGGGAAATGATTATGTGCCTTGTTGTAGGAGGACTAAAAATTAAGATAAAAACTAATACAAATAAATAAATAATAACAACAACAACAACAGTTATTGTAACAACAAAGGAGTGGAAAGCACTAGGTAGATAAACACATATAATACGGTAATAATAATAATATCACCATAAATAACAATGAGTAATATGTAATTATTATTATCATCATGAGTGTAGTTTTACACATGTGAGTGCATGTCATCAGGCAAGTGTGTGACATGGAGGTTCATCCTGCACAGAACGATATAGCTCAGCTTTAATAGGAATGACTATAGGTGACAGTGAGTGAGTGAGTGTTACACTGCATATGTTGAACACCTTTGACATTACCTGTACTTTTCTTACTCATGGTTGACATTTCTGCACAAGCCTCATACCCAGTTTTTTTGTATGGTATCAATTTCCAATTTATTTATGTGAAAAAGTTGCAGAATATGACTTCAGCCATTCATCAAACTACTTCCTTGCGAGCAGCAAAAACATTTACATTAAAAAAAAAAGACATGTCTTCGATTAGATGATAGTAGAGCGGTAGTTGAGATCATTGGTCACACTGCAACCATCCACTTTGACCACCGTGACCTTGGATGAGTGCTGGGAGCTTTGCAGTGTGTTCCTGGAGCAAAGACGCTCGCGGTAACTCTGCGCAAAAATGAGCAACATAAGCGGGTTGATGCAGCTGTGGGAGTAGCTGAGGCAGATACTGATGTGGTAGGCATAGACGAATGCAATTGTCGGGGTGTTGTTGGCCAGGTTGACCACCTGAATGACATGGTAGGGCGACCAGCAGATCAGGAACAGGGCGATAACCATGAGGACCATCTTGGTGGCTCTTTTAGCCCAAACGGACTGCTTACGTTTGACGCGGCGGATGGAGCTGAAGACGTGGTAGAGGGTGAGTGAGTAGAAGGTGCTGATGATGATGAGGGGGATGATGAAGCCCAGGATAGACTGGTAGAGTGTGTACCAGTACATGTCCTCAGGCCCGTCCAGGTTCATCATGCACACCTCCAAATGCCGTCTGCGCACAACCTTGGCGTACAGCATGACGGGGACTGTGAGGAGGAAGCTGCCCAGCCACACCAGCAGGTTGATGATGATGGTCCACTGGATGGTCCTCTTCTCTGAGGCGGGGTGAACAACAGCTATGTACCTAGGAAGAAGAGGTCACTTTCTTTAGAGTTGGACTGCAGTCGGAAAACACGAATGACAAAAGCAGCTTTGCTGAAATGTATATAAAGAACTCTAGTTTTGCTTCGAGAGGTCATTTTCATCCTTGACAAGCTCAGAGACTCAAGTCAAGCATGGGGGAATGATGAAATCAAGTACCATGTCACCGATACACTCTCAATATATTACGTGCTCAGTAGAGCGGTGAATGCAGTGACAAATTAGTATAATTTTGACAAGGTGACACGAGTAGAAAATGAACACATTTCAATTTGGATTTTTGCGTTCGAGCTAGACAAAATTGACAATCTTTAGGACATTGGCAGGAAATGAATGACCACTTTATCACCATTTACACTAAGTGCCATTTTAGTGGAACATATGACGTGTTTCCAGTTGCAGTCTACACGTTACATGTGACTCTGTGCTCTTGCCCGACCGGACTGGTTAGATATAGCAGCTGTGTAAACTATGAAGACTCAAACGATCTTCTCCAAGACATCCTGTATCTTAAACTATTCATCAATTGTTTGGTATTGTGGTCAGCAACAGAAGCTGGCGTCCTCTGTTGAATATACTTTTAGTGTGACGGTTGAATCAGTAAGTGCAGATCAATACCCATGTGTCTGGCCTACTGATGTATTGCCTCAGTTCAGCCGAGGAAGACATTCATATGATCAAAAACGTTGACTTGGGAACTGCTAGAACTCATCACACTATGTTTATTAATTGTGAGAAATGTTGAAGAAAGCCTGAAGCTGAAACACGTTTGTTTCCTTCTGCAGCTGTTCATTATTAAAAGTATGACATACTTATTTGTGTGGCTAACAAATGTGCTACTGTGTGATTCTCGGGTCGGCACCCATTAAACTCTAATGACATTTGAGTCAAGCACGCCAGTTCCTTTGTGTTCGATGCTCTGTAGTTGTCTCGCTGCAGTGTGAGAAAGAATAACAGAGCAAACGGATTCAGGGTGAAACATTTGTATTTTGACAGCCTCCACAGTAAAAGTATCTCTTCCTAATATTTGAATACCTCTTGTATTTATTGCACCATATCCTCAACAAATATTTACACTTGTACTTTAGCTGCTGTGATTTGGAAACAAGAATATGTTGATATCCACATAACTGCAGCGAAATGAAATTAAACAGCGTCCTGAGTTAAAGTGGAACAAGCTGAAATAACTTGTTCCTATGATGATTACATTACATTTACATTACATCACAGTCATTTAACAGACGCTTTTATCCAAAGCGACTTACAATAAGTGTATTCAACATCGGTATTCAAGACAACACATGTCTTTGTTGGCACTACCAGGAGAATACAGAAGGTTGCGAATTAAGATTATAATGTCAGTTTGGGATGTGTCTTAACAGCTGAGAAGGGAAGGAATAGAGAGTTTGAGTTGTCATGCATGTTTTTAACAGATATAAGTTGGTAATACTAAATTTAGAAGTGACGTTTTTCACTGTGAATAGACTTTGTTCCTAAACTGAGATGACTGTCAAGAAATGTTATTTTGATTGTGTGGGACATGGGGCTGAGGGGTATCATTAGAGCCGTCAAATAGAAAACTCTAATCACAATTTCTTTGACTCAAATAATAACAATCAGCCCTGTGTGAGATTTTAAACACTATAATCATGCTGCTTTTTATATTCTTTCTATTGAGGTGGCACACAAGATAGCTTTTCATTTGTGTGTTTGTTTGTTCGCGGTTATCATTAGTTTGATTTCCTTTTCACTAAATATTACAATAGCTTATTTTGAAGGGCTTGAAGTTTAGTTTTTATTTGATCTCTTTTATTTAGTGTTTGCAGCAGCAAACCTTTATAACTTAAAAATATATATAATTCAAGTCATTTGAAAGGATAGTGTTGAATCATTGTGTTGTCAAGGCTCGGTATAAAACAGTATTGATAATATGAGATAAAACGACTAAATCTTACAAGGCCAATTTCCAGTGCTGGTGGTGCTGCCTATCAGAAGACAATTAGCTGGTTTAGTGGCCCTTCAGAAATGCATTATGTATATTATTACTGAAAGTGTGAGACGTGATTGCTCTGAGAGCAACTCTTGCTCCGATGATTACCATCAAATGAAGATGATTATCACTCTAACGCTTGGCGCACAGGCACATTAAATGTCCTCTGTGTGTTCAGATCATACACATGGCATCATACATCATTTATGCAGGGCACATTGTGTCATCATGAGCTGTTGCACGGAGTACCCTTCCCTAATGGTATATCTTCAGATGGACTGTGAAGTGATTGGCTCTTTCTAAATGATCGCACCTGTAACTTACTAAAGGGGTAAATACTTTCAGCTTTCAGAGGAAATTGTATTAATATGAGGATTATTCAAACTTTTAGTATGTATAGCATGTATATATGTGCTGTATTTTGTTGTCAACGTGCGTGATTCTTCAGAGAATATCTCTTACTTTTTTTCCAGCACTTATATAATTATAATCAAACATTGACGAGAATTGGCATTACATCTGCGATATGGCTGGATTAAACACTTACCGATCAATGCACAACACAGTAACAATTCCCACTGTGGTGAACTGGTTGCTGACGTCCACCACCACGACCGCTTTGCACATAAAGTTTCCGAAAACCCACTGTCTGTCTCTGACCAGCTGGTGAATGTTGAAGGGCATCACAAGCAAGAACAGCATGTCGGCTATCGCCAAGTTCAGCACGTAGATGTCTGATACCATTTTCTTCTTGCATGATTTCACCGCGTAGATGACCAGTCCGTTGGCTAACACTCCCACTGAACACAGGATGCCATAAATCGAAGGGAATATGTGCATGAAAGTTGTGATGTCGATGTGGTTGTACGAGGGACGTGAATTCAGACATGACAAGTCAGTCAAGTTCTCTGTGTGGTTTTTCTGGCAAAAAGTGCCCGTGTCATTCATCTTCAGATCCTCTCAATAATCGCCTGTGTCGTTGTAATTAACGCGCGCACCGGGCGCTCTCCAGCTGGCGTCCGGTCTCCAAACTTGGGCAGCAAACTCTCGCACTCTCCAAGAGTACGTATCCTCTCCTTGAGTTCGTCCGTGGATTTCCCCAACAAAGATGATAGGATTTAAAACAGGAAAACGTCAAATCGAATCAAGGCTGACTGCATGAGCAACGATGCTCCCTGGAACATGTTTATCTCTGGTGGCAGACCATTTACCGCGCGCATCCGATGTGCGCTTTATCAAACAGAGTGCGCCTCGGGGGACACTAGTTCCCTCCCTTCATATATAAATCGCTGTGTGATGTCAAAACAAGCAAATGAAAAGAAGGCACTTTAAACCCCAGAAATCTTGGCTTTACGCCTTGACAACATGTGTAAATTAAAGGAGGAGAGTAAACTCTTTCAGTGATGCATTTTGATGCAGTTTCTCCATCCCAAATATCTTTACTCTCTGCTACAGGTTTGGGCTTTTTGTATACTTTGATAAGTGTTATTTCTACATATTTCTAAATACATAGGCCCAGGTGACAAAGGCTTTCATGTTTAAACTGGATACAAAAATGGAAGAATCTGTTGTATATTAAGGGTTAGAGGAGAAAGATAAAGGGACAAATTTAAGGGACAGAATACCTCTACAATTAAGACACATGGTCCAACTGCTACAACACAAAAAGAGATGTGTGTTCCTTTTGCATTTCAATTTAACCACACATTTATGGACAGCTTTTAAACTTTCCCCGTTTGTTCCCCCCCCCAAATTCTGATTAGTTGAAGCTATATGAAATTGAACTGATTAAGGCTATCACTAGCAATTGCGTTTTTATGATCTATATAGCCTAAAGCAGGGGTATTCATTTAAAATTCAAAGAGAGGTCCAGTTAAAACAATTTCTCCCAGCAAAGATCCAATTCCGAACCTCATAATGTCTCAATTGTGTCCTGTAGCCAGCCCTGTGTCAACAACGCGCATTTTCATATCATTTCAATAATATTTATTGTCAATTTACAAAGTTGGATATTAACATGCAGACACATTGAACTTGTATGGCACTTGTATGGAAAACAAATCCAGTTATCTTCCCCATGAATAAAATGTATTCATTCATAGCATAAGTCTATTCACAGGTGTGCATTGCGTCTTTGGTTGGACCTGGGAGAACTGTCTCAGACATGTAGCTATGCAGTAGCAGAGTCGGTTGTTTCATGCTCCATGCTGTCATATCATGCTGTCATCTCTCTCACATCTCTCTCATGCTGTTGTTCTCTTTAGTAAACTGTCTACGCACGGTAGACAATAGATTTGATTGGCTCAATTGTGTGAAGTTATTGCCGGATTAAAGATGGGGGAGGCAGTATATTTTTGACATTATTTGAGCAACAATTCCATTAATACCCTTCAGCATATTGTAATTCAAGTGGTCTGGAAGAAAAACTTCTGCACCTCTTCTGGGCTCTGTTTTAGAGCTTCAGACTTTGGCCAATCACAGGTCATTTCAGAGAGAGGGCTGTTCCTATTGGCTGTTCTACAAATGCAGATTCACATCCCTTCAGATGGCGAGCGCCTGATTCAATGGCAGAAAATCCTGCATTAACAAAACGTTATTCCTGCATTGGTAACACCTTCCTATACTGCAAAGCAACCCAAAAAAAGGAAGAGTCTGACAAAAAGAGTGTAACAATATTGCTCAGTGAGCTAGCCACACAGCTACAGTAACCAAGGCAGTAGATCATGGCGAGCATCATCCTCTCTCCATCCCTCAAATAGTTTAGCCTTGTGAGCTCACCTCTGCTGCAAAGCTTCCCTGATATTGTAGCTTGCTAGAGTCTGGAATCACGCTGTGTTACAGGCACATAAGTTTGCAAAGAAATCAGGATGGTAATTATCATAGAATAGGACGACGTTTAAATTAATGACTACTAATACATGTTACATGCGTGTATTTGCCCATACTCGTCTGGTGGGAGGGCCTTACAGAGAGGGAAGAGGGGAAAGCTGCCGGATGAGGAATGTATTTTCAAATTCTGGCGTTTTTCTTTTGCCTTTTCCAGAAAACTGCCTATAGTGGTACCCCAGGGTATACTGGGGTACCATTTGAATTACCATATGCTGAAAGGTTATCATGAAATTTTTGCCCAAATATTAAAAAAATAATGTGCCCCCCTAGCTTTACGTAACTGAATTATCTATAGCCGCGACCCTCTTTGAAGTTTATTATTATTTATTCTCAATAATTTATCAGAAATAAATCACTGGTTCAGAAAAATCGTCACTATGTCCGTCACTTGGTGATGACCTTCACCGACCCTACAGGCTGCTGTGTAAAACTCATATGTGGTTTTCTTCAAAGCTTTGTTCTGACATCATTGGGAATCAGCGAGGACAGTAACTGAGCCACAGTTGGATCCAGCTGAACCGTGAGGGCTCTGCTGGGATCTGACCACAGGTACAGGTGAGATCTCCTCTGCTGGCTTCAGGTGCCTACGTTGTTTCATTCCTATGATGCTTTCTTTCTCTCCAAGCTGTCGTTCAAAGTGCACTATAATATAATTATTTGAACACAGATCATTTAGAATACACCTCGAACAATAGGAGACCTGCTTCCATGCACTTTATGAACTCACCTGTCAGTTACTGACAGCAAAAGAAAAATACCCCCTGAATATAATTCACTTCATTGAATCATATTCTGTCATTTTGATCTCTTCAATTTAGATCTGTGAGTATAAATTCCACTTTGCCAGCGATAGACCCAAGAGTCATCAAGTGTGTCAATGAAGATTGCATCGAAAGTCAAGAAAGGTGGCAAAACGTTAGCGAGACTTAAACAGCCAAGTTGTTTTTCGACTTTTCAGATACAGTGGATTCAAGGACAAGAGAGGAATCAATCTTTCAACTCGAGGACCTGCTTCAGGTCCCCATGATGGAGGGCATCTGCTTTGCTAAAGTGGTCTTGAGAAAAAGCTGAACACCAAGGGCTAATCCATTTGTTGTATGTAGGCTTATTTTTTTTAAGTGCTGCATGGTATTCTCAACAGCTTTGCACATCCCCTCAGGATAAAATCCTCGTGTAGCCTCCCAGGTCAGAGTTTTCACACATTCTGTGAAATACTACTCAAACATCCACTGGATGAATGGGTTTGAGATTTTGGGCAGACATGTATGGTTTCCAGACTGTGTATTTTAATTACTTTTGGTGATCCGCTGACTTTTTTCCACTAGCGCCACCGTGAGCTTCACATTTGAATTTGTCCAATATTTTGGTTTCCTCCAAAATTACGGTAAGGCCATTCCTACCAGCCTCCATTTTATTTTGTGTTTAGTGCTAATGTGTTCATGTTAGCATACCTAGACGCTAAACTAAAGTGGTGAGCATCGTACATTATACCTGCTATACCATGTTAACGCTGATAAGTGCAGCCTTGCAGAGCCACTAGCATGACTGTAGACTCAATATTGTTATCACTGTGATGCAAATACACGTCACATAAGTTCTGTTAACATTTCTCAACACGAATAATCTGATTATTCAGTTGACAGTTGACTGTTTGATGAATTGATTGACGAGGATGTTGAATATTTTTCCAAAGCAGCCATGTTTTGTCAGTTTTAAAATTACGGATGAGTGACATGCCCAGCAAGTAGAGTGTTCATCCAGGGAACGGTTCATGCTAATTTCTCCGTGAAGCAGCAATGATGCTGGAGGAATAATGATGCAACACTCCTCCACAAAAGTGACTCAGAGTGCTGCCAAAGTCATGAAATGTTTGATTTCATGAACTTCTGATTATACCTTCTGATACCGTCAGAGTCACACATATTAAAAGCTTACATCATCAACAGCCAGCTGTCTAGTAAATATGGCATAATTGCAGCAGGATGATCAAGTCAAGATTTAGCCGGTAAAGACTCAAAACTCTTTCTCTGCGCTTTTACTAACTAGCTTAAAAGGTTCCCTTTGACCCCTATTATTTGAACTAACATAATCATTTTGTTTATATATATATATATATA